AGTGTCACTGTGACTGTCCCACAGGACTGTTAGTCTGTCATGATGTAATATTTGAGTGACAGAAGTGACTAATTGGGTGGAGCCAACAATCTAGTATGAGTCTAGGACATGTTCTGCAGTCATGGTTCAGTAAAATCAGGTCCTGTAATTAGATCAACTTTGAAACGCGTCAGATCATCTAGACCAGGTCAGCCCGGTAAATGAATAATAAGTCATCAGTATTTCCAGTGTAAAACATAATATACTGTGGGACATTCTAGGCCAGGGGTGGGCAAACTTTTTGACACATGGGTCACAAAGGGCTCTAAAATTTGATGGAAGGGTTGGACCAGGGTCAAATGGATGGAGTTTTTTGGTAATCCACCTCATAAGAGAAAAAAATATCCCATGTTATTGAAATATCCCATAATTAAACATCATTACAAAGCATTACAACAAAATATCTGTCTTTCGAGTCCCACAATATTTGCTATTTATTGAAATTACTTTTAAAACACTGAAAACTATTATTATTATTCAAGTTCAGCGGGCCGGATTAAAAAGAGTAAAGGGCCGCATATGGCCCCTGGGCCTTAGTTTGCCCTCCCCAGTTCTAGGCAAACAAAGACCCTTCTTCAGAAAAACTTCATAGTGCACCTAAACCAATTAATACTTAGAATCTGATATCATCAACATTCTCTGGGGAGGTGACGCTAACTGAAAGCACTGCTCTATCTTTAGCTCTGACTTTCATCGGAGCTTTATTTTAACACAATCTGACCAGAAGGACCAGACTGAACTAACTGACACATTAGTCAACAGTTTTCAGTTAGTCACTTTCATCTTTTTGTTGAAAATTAAAGACCTAAACAGGACCATCTTATACTGATCACAGACTCCTGAAAATGTGTTACTTCAATGACTTCATGTGTTACAAACCATCTTCAAACATTTTGTCTGTGTTTTCTAATTTGTGTCTCCATGGTAACTGCTGAACTTTCTGTCAATAGATGACATGCAGATCATCCTCATTCCCCAGTGTGATATGACTGAGACGTGTCAATAGTGCAATAGTGCATTGGATAAAGCAGTTGTTAATTATAAACCATTATTGATCTAAAATCAATGCAAATGCAAAGGACACATTTCCCAACAGGAACAGTAAAGGTCACCTTAACCTTAAAACGGGTGAATAATTATAAACAGGTCGAGTGACTTTCTGTTCAACTCAGGTCCCGCCTCTTCATGGGAACATTTCCTGTAACTAGCAGATTATCTTTAATGACTTGAGATTACCGGATTACTCAAACATGCAAGAATTACTCAGAAGCAAAATAATGACTTTGCTGATAAAAGTAGATTTTAGATACAGCCCATTTAAGTCTCGTCTGCACGGCCTGTGACAGTCATGAAAAGAACGTCTGTGCTGGAGCCTATAGAAGCAGATGAATGCTGGGCTCACTGTGGGGTTGCTTAGGAACATGAGGCCCACACAGCTCCAGAAGACGGGACAGGGGGACGACTGTGCTCAAGAAGGACTGCTGAGAGACATTTCAAAGTCCTAGAATGTACTGGACTGACCTTCTGACTTTTAAACATGGTATAAAGTGATTTCATCAAGAACAGAAACAGAATTACATCACTCTCTTTAAACTTTCTTTCTTCTTCCTGTTATGTGACATTTTGACAACTTTTTGACGACATTCAAAAGATATATTTACTTAAAATAAATAGTTAATTACTGTGGCCTAAACTGTATCAACTGTTCATCAATTCTATTACATATGGGCCCAGTCAAGCAGAAGTAAACACAAGGCCAAAAATTCAAGTTCATGCATCTGATATAAAAATGTATTGAACAGATACATATGTACTCTAGTTTATCAAACTGTTGACCTTTTTCTGTACCATTTTTGGTTCTAAAATTTCATATGTTTTAAACAGACCATGTATGAAACATGGAACAAAAATTATTTCCCAAATTTCAAAGACCTGCAAATCATGTAAATAAATGGATGTATTTCATCATATCTTGTGTTATTCCATCTTTGAACTGTTGATGAAGGGACATGATTTTTCAAAAAAAAAAAAAAAAAAAAAATTTAAAATGAAAAAAATTAGCTTGGAAGGACTGACATATTTTATAGAAATAGTTTCCTTTCATTTTGAAGTAATATTAAAGTATTCAGAAGAAAAAAGCTGACAAAATCCTGCACCTTCTACTTGTTTGCACAATTTTCCCTCTGTTACTTTTCCCTCCGTTACCATGGCCTTTCTTCATAAAAAATCTCATGAGTCAAAAAAGAGGTTTTTCAACCTAATCTTGTACCATATGGTAGAAAACTATATGAAATATTCAAACCAGTTTGTAAAGGATATGGAAGTGAGAACCAAGAGTTATCACTGTTTGTATTTATTGCCCAAAAAGTGCTGCATATTTCATTTCCTCCGTTCAAGTGGTAACGGAGGGAAACGGGGGCAGATTTTTGACATTCAAATGTCTCTTATTCAGAAACTAGAGGGACTATTGAAATAAGTAAAGTATCAGAATGTAGGAAAGAGTTACACTCCAACAGGGTCAAGTTAAACCTGGGATATTCTTTCAAGTTGTTGACAAAAAATTTAAACTCATGTCGGTAACCGGACCCATATACAAAAGAAAAAACATGTATTTGTTGTGAAATTGCTTTAGAACAAGGGTCTCCAACTTTGAGAGCTGCCAGTATCTGTCCACCCCCTTCCAAGTAGCTCACCAAGGGATTTCTGAATTATATGTAATGTGCTGAATAATTGCATTAATTGCCATTGTAAATATATAATTTTGATGCCTAACTAAATCAATAAATGGATAATGGTTTGTGGTTTGTAGGCGTCTAACTATTCTCTCTATCTAAGACTTGCTGTGGGGTTTAAATGTACTCAGTTTCTTGCGAACACTAAAATGAGCAGCTCTCTGGCATTTGTGTTTGTTAAAAGAAGCTCACTGGAGGAAACAGGTTAGAGATCCCAGTTTTAGAGGGATACACAGGGACACAACTCCCCCGGCCTCGTCTCGGGTCAGAACAAAATGTGACAGACAATTAGATTTGTTTATTTCAGTGGCGCGTGTGAAACAAAGGAGCTCACTGATCGTCTATTATGACCAAAATGACATTTCTCTCGTCCCAGGATGAACTGAGTTTGGTAAGTTATGTGCAATATATGTCATGTCCTATTTTCCCCTCATAATCAGCCACATTTGTTTTGATACAGAATGTACAAAGAAGTATCAGAAAAAAGTGGACTAAGCTCTTAATTCAAGTAGCTACAGGGCTCTATATTATGAATAGCATTTTAAAATGGACAAAATAGCGAAATAAAAACACCAGAGTCATGTAGTGAGGATTAACATGAACATTTTAAGATCAAAATGACGAGACTCACCGCAGCAGTTCCAGACAGGAGCCACAGTATTTCAAGTGTAAGTCACTGGAGTGGGTGTCAGCAGTGCCGGCATGTGAACTTCATATCTGCTAAGTCCATTTACACTCTATGACTGTATGAGTGTTTCCCAAACTGTTTTTCTGGGGACCCATATTTTAAAAGTTACAAAGCTTCATGACCCAAGTCAAGAGATATTTGTAAATCACAAAATAAAGGTGAACTGTCCATTACTGATCATTTCTCTCTAAACAGTTTGTATTACTGAAGTTTTAAACAATGAAAAACTGAAGCAGCAATAAAAGGATCCAGAAGTCGCCTATTTGGACATTAAATGTTGCCCATTTTCAACATTCAATTGAACCAGCAATATTGGAACAAAATAGTCAATAAAATAATTTGAAAAAGATTAGAAATTATACAAAACATGTCTTATGTTAACATTCCAACATTTCTAAAGAGATAGGTGGACCTGTGTGTGTTTTTGTAGCGTGTTCAGTCCTGGTGCAGGAGGAGATGCAGTGTTCAGTCTGTTTCTGTGATTTGTCTTCATTTTTGTGAGCGCAGAAAATCACAATTCCCACATATATGTAGTAGTGAAAGGAATAAGCACAGAAACACTGACCCTACTGAGGACAGGAGATTCACTCTCATGTGTCAGGACTGTATGTTTCACACCTACATGCAGATCGTGACAAGGTGACCTGGGACAAAGTGGGCCTTTGTCCCATTTTAAATTCACATTAGTTTATGATAAACATTTTGATTTTGAAAGGGGACTTAGGCCCAGGAAAAGAAATCCTCGCTTTGCTTTGAAAGTGACCTGGAAAGTGACCTGGAAAGTGACCTGGGGGAGGTACTTCCTGCTGGGCGAGGTGTAAAGTAAAGCTGCTGTTGGAAGTTAGGGGAGAGGGGAGAGATTTCTGTGTAGATCAGGGGTCTCCAACCTTTTTCCTCAGGTGAGCTACTTTTACAAAACGAATATTCCAGAGAGCTACTAATTTCAGCGGTCACAGGAAATAAAGTAAACATAAGAGACATGAGAAGACTTAGATGGGGTACAGTTAGATAAAACATAGACAATAAACCATGATTTATTTATGAGTGCACAAAGTCAGGCATCAAAATGATAGATTTACAATCATTTAATTCATCACATTTGAGTTATTCAGGACAATACATATAATTCAGAAATCCCTTGGCGAGCTACTTGAAAGGGGGTGGAGAGCTACAGGTTGGAGACCCCTGGTGTAGATTGTTTGGTGCTTTTGATGTGAGTTACATATTTTCTGTTTATTTGTACTTTCTTTTGCGTTAACTCCAGAAGTCTGTTTTAAAATAAATTTTGTCTGGTCAAAGACACTTTTTTATTGTCATCTGCCTCCTACTTTGATCACGTCGGACCTGCATCCCCACACGACCCCCCAAAAAAATCTCTTGCGACCCACCTGAGTTTTTGGGAAACAATGGTCTATGAGAATGACCATGCCTGTCCTTGATTGGTTAATCCAACTCTTTCATTAAATTAGAGGAGAAGTTCACCACTATTTCTGTTGTAACACCACAGACACGACACACACAGAGAAGAATGTGCTCAGTTTATTCTCAAATCAAATCTTTCTGAAATCTAGCACGCATCTAACACAACAGAAAAAACATGACAACTCAACTTTGGTCCAATGACAACACAAAGGCAAAGTACAAAGCTGAAAATATAACAGACACACAAACATCACCGAACTGTCCACGCACAGCTCTGATCCACTTTAACATGGAGCACTGCAAAAAAGGAAGAGTTTAACTGAGACGTATTATGCAAAACTGACTTTCCGGAGCTTTCTATCACGTTATAACTTTATTCCCTCATCATAAACATGTCTGAAGAGGTTTTAGAGTCATCCATGTATGTTTGAGTAATTTCGCAATCTCTCCTGAGTCCTATTCAAACCCTCCTTACGGTTCGCTGTAGGTTCTGTGCAATGCTCCGCCCACAAACCTACATCACCGCACGAGAATATTCTCCAGAAATATACAAAAACATAAAAACTTCACACACAAAAAAGAAAGTAAAGTTCACGAGTTTGTGTAATAAAGGACTTTTAAAAATGCAACTCCAGGATGTTTTTGTGAGTGTTTTTTTTCTTTGAGGTGGTTTTTGAGATTGATCCATCACAATATGGAACCTACACAATGGTAAACAAATATCGAAACAAAGGAACAAATATAGGCCTTTGAATACATGTTTATTTGTCCCTTAAATCAAGAGAAACTTTCTGAATTTAAAAGTCCTGTATTACACAACATTGACTCTTGTGACCTTTATGAATCTATCATTTGTTCATTCGTTTTTTCAAAATAAAAACAAAAATAACTATTTTCTTCAGTATTTTTTCTCTTTGATTTTGTGTTTAAATGAAAAATGGAAAAAATGGATAGCGGCTGTTTCCAGTTTACGTGGCTTAAACTGTGATGCCGGACTGAACCTGGACTAAACCAGGACTGAGAGTCAGCGCGGGCCCAGAGGTGCCCCTGCGTAGACTGTAGGGTGATCTGGACTGAGACCAGGACCAGACCAGGACCAGACCAGGACCAGGACCAGGACTAAGACTGGGACTGAGACCGGGACCAGACCGGGACTGACATCGGGACTGAGATCGTGACTGGATCAGGACCAGAACGGGACTGAGACCGGAACCAGACCAGGACTGAGACTGGGACTGAGATCGGGACCAGACCAAGACTAGACCGGGACCAGACCGGAATTGAGACCAAGATCAGACCGGGATTGAGGCCAGGACTGAGACCAGGATTGGGCCAGGACCAGACCAGGTCTGAGAGCAGGTCTGAGAGCAGGTCTGAGAGCAGGACTAAGACTGGGTCCAGACCAGAAATGAGACCAGGACTGAGACCAGGACCAGACCGGGACTGAGACCGGTTTACTCCTGGTTTAGTCCTTGTTTAGACTTGGTTTAGTCCGGGTTTAGACCTGTTTTAGTCCTGGTTTAGACTTGGTTCAGACCTAGTTTAGTCCTGGTTTAGACCTGGTTTAGACTTGGTTTAGACCTCGTTTAGTCCTGGTTTAGTCCTGTTTCAGTCCCGTTTTATCCTGGTTCAGTCTTGGTTCATTTTGGTTTTGTAGACAAATAATGAATAAAATTGTTGTTTTTTTTGTTTCCTTATTTTTGGTTTTATTTTGAAAAACAAATAAACGCATGATACACAGATTTTTATGCCATGTTAGAACGCTGCTTAATCCCAACTCCAGGTCTGTTTGTGATGAGGAAACAACATTAGAACAAAAAATAGAGTAAAATTGTCATTTTAACTCATGTCATAATTCCTTTTTTGCAGTGCCCTTCTCCTGCTGCAGCCTTCAGTTTGGCCACAATGTCAAACACTAAATAAACTCTATACATCTCCACACAACGTCAACATACGCAAAAATCATTTCAAAAATCATATACACCAACACTGCAAAACTCCGTTCGGCCTCCGTCCTGCTCGAGTCCCGTCATCCAGAAAGTCTTTAGAATAAACATTAGAATAACTGTTCACATGTGCAAAACTCCTTCACTGTAGCTGTGAGAAAGCCAGCGGTCGCCGTCTTGAGCCTGTCTGAAGCAGTTGTCGAAAAAATTGCGCGTTCGTTATAAATAAAATGTTTTGTTTTTGTCATTGTGGTCACTCCAGTCCAAAGCCCTCTGCGTTGGAGATGGCGATGGTCAGTTTGTGTTTGAGCTCCTTCCTGGTGCGATACGGAGGCAGGCAGATCTGGTTAAAACACGTGTGAGAAATGGGCAACCTGCAAAAGACAACAACGACAAGAGGTGTGTATGTTAGTGTGGTCCATTCTGTGAGGAAAGGCAGAGCTGTTACTGCAGTTTTCATCATAATTACTAGGGATGGGACAGGATCTTGTTCTTTTCCTGTGAATTTACCTTTACCTTAGACCAAAAAGAAGCTGTAGTTCCAAAAAGTACTACAATGACCGCTAAAGTATTAGATAAAATAAATAAAAATAGTGAAGTCAAAACTGTGAAATGGATTGCACTACTTATTTATTACACCACATTATGTCAAAAACTCATCTTGTTTCTTTGTTCTTGTGGACCTAATCACATGCTGTGTCTCATCTTGTGAAAATTATGTCTTGTTCAACCCCTAATGGTTACAATTACATTTTGTAAAGAGTTGGGGTATTCAAAAATCTGCAGTAGCTTATAAAATTTGATGTAAAATATGAATATGAAATTGTATTTTCCTTACAAAGGTTTAAATCTGATCCAGCAGATGAGTGCTTCAATCAGCTGTGACTATTAGCCATATCAGCTTGTAAAAAGCTTGATCCCGTCAGATCTCAGAAGCTCAGCAGGGCCGGGGGGGGGATGGGGGGCAGTCACAAAAACTGCCAAGCCATTTCACCCACATTGCCTAGTATGAAAGTGGTGTGTGTGTGTGTGTGTGTGTGTGTGTGTGTGTGTGTGTGTGTGTGTGTGTGTGTGTGTGTGTGATGGTAGTGGTCTGAGGGGCTGTTGGCGCCGATTGGCATGGCAGCCACGCTTCTGTCAGTCTGCCCCAGGGCAGCTGTGGCTACAATATTAACTTACCATCACTGGGTATAGAGTGAATGAGTAATACTGAATAATGCGCTATATAAATAACTACTTACTTACTTACTACTATTATGATCTAAATATTAGAAATATTACAAAACAAACTCTACCTTGTACTAATAATGTTCAAAAGGTGAGTGCTGTAACACTAATGTGCACATGTCGTTTGCTGCGACAGCCATCCAGAATAATCATGTGTGGAACTCCATTCAGAGGCTGCACACACACATCAGTCTGTCAGGTTCTATCCTCACAAGTGAAATTTGTGTTTTACAGTCTGTGTGTGTGTCTAAGAGCACACGTGCCTGTAGTCAACACACAGTCTACACACACAGTCTACAGTGTAGTCTGAGTGTAACACCACTCCTGAGCCTCTCCTGAGCTGATAACTCCTCACCACATGAACCTGTGGTGACCTGACCCACTTGTGCTGTTAATGTGACTTATCTCCTGCTCCCTGCGTTTGGATAAAGACTCTTTTATAAACCTGACTTTACAATGGGCCTCTATAAAACAGTCTTTACACAGGAGAGTTAGTGTTAGTTACGCAGCATGTTTGAATTATCTGCTGTCTGTTGTATCTGTATGTGTTGTTACAGTGAGTTAGGTTTAATTTATGATGTTGGTACAAGGAAAAAAGGGAAGTGTAAAATAAAACCTAACTGAACATAGGCGTGGGTAGTGTTGTGTTTTAGTTTTAGTTTTTCCTCGAGTGAAGCAGAAAAGAGGGAGCCACTGTCTGTGTGAATGTTAATATATGTTAGTTCTCATTCTTCATACAGGACAGTCTCTTCAGTAAAAAACGCACATGTGGACTTCACTGCGTGACAGTGATGGTGACGTACCAGTCTGTGGAGACGTCGATCTTGGACACCTTGAAGTTGAGGTGGGCCATACCCCCCACGGGCACTCGGTCACTGCCTGTGGTGAAGTGAAGCAGCTTCTTCTGCAGCTCCAGAGGGAAGGCCAGCACCACGTCCCAGAAGCACCTGCACCAGACCACACACACACAAACAACAGGGTCAAACATGTCATAGTATAACCAAGAAATAGTGCTTTACAAGTCCACTGTGCAGTTCTAGTACCGTATTTTCTGCACTATTAGGCGCTCTGGATTATAAGGCGCACAGTCATTGAATGGTCTATTTTTGAACTTTTTTCACAAATAAACTGCACCGAACTTTAAACGAAACACAACAGTTGGATGGGTCAGTGGGACTTTGTTTGGCACATTCACGGTGACTCTGGGCTTTGTTCTGGGACCGCTGGATTGTCGGCGTGTTCGCAGTGACTCAGTTGTTCAGTTGTGTCTAGAAGTGGCACATTGCACTCGCTTTTTCGGTTCGTTCCTCCGTTCCGTTCCTCGTCCTCGTGGAGTGATGAGTGTGGCTGTGGGTCGCTGTCTGCTCCGTGTGTTTGTGTGCTCTGCGGGTGGTGCGGCTTTGTAGTTTACTGAAGTCGTGCTGGGACACCCGAGTGGATTCGTGTATGGGGCGCTCTGGATTGTGGGGCGCGCAGTCGTTTTTTGATGGGGTTGGAGGCTTAAGAGTGCATCTAATAGCCCGGAAAATACAGTATTCGCTTTACATCATCTGTTGACACACGCACGCACGCACATACACAACGAATGAATCAGCAGATGGAATCTCAGGTCGTTTCACACTGTCACTGCTTGATGTAAGACACTAGGGAAGGGATGAGACACAGTTTCTACAAGATGAGACATGTCACAATCAGCTCATAAAAACGAAACAAGACAATATTTTGACACAGTTTTAATCAATAAATTGTGCCATTCAGTTCACAGTTTTGGCTTCACAATTTTTTTATGTTTTGGTGTCATTGTAGCACTGCTTTTTTGGTAATTCAGCTTCTCAAGAGGAGTTACTCTGCAAAGTTTTTTTTTTTTTTTCATCCAAGGCAAATGTGGAAAAATTTTGTTCCATCCAAGAGTGAATGGTGTCTTATAGAAATGGGAGGATGGGATTTTTTACACTACTTCCGAGCGCTTTTGTATAAATAGTTGTTTTTGGATGAACTCCTCTGTAGTTGTAGCCTGTTCAGATACACAGAGATACGTTATAGTTTTGAGAGCTTTAGTCACACCCTCTTTTAGTCGACTAATGTCGGGTGTACACTGTGTGATATTTTCGGTGGTGTCACTCAGCCCCAGCTTTAAACTGTACAACCAAATCACAGGGTTTAAAAGTTCACAGCTCACGAATCATGTTCTCACACTATACAAACCGATGCTCAGATGCGACCTGCCCGAGCACACTGGACGTTCACTTAACGATTGAAGTTGTTCCAGAAGTAGAAAACCACAAAGAAGAAAACCACGGACGTCTGGAGACACAATACTGATCTAGACAAAAAATAGACATGCTGCCAAGCCCAAAAAGAAGAGGCGACAAATATGGTCAAAGAAATGGCTGGGCAGACGTGGGCAGTACGGGTTGTCAGTTTTTCAGAAGGAACTGGTAGTAAGTAGCATCAAGTTTTTCACCAAACTTGTGTTCTGTGTTGTTCGATTAACTGCGCCTCCATGTCCTGTGTCCAAAACGCTTGCTGGCCCGACATCGTCCTCCACAACCTCATGTCCTGCTTCTGCTTCTGTGTCCACGCATGCTCAGTCTGACAGATTCTGGCAAATCGGCTCATGGAACTAGTTTGATATTCTTGCGACCTATGAGTGCCGATCAGGAGCTGGTTGTGAGGTATAAATCGGTTTTCTTTACCATTTACCATGTTTACAACACGAAACATGACACACGATGAAGCCAAAACTCGGCCTGATCCCCAAAACCAGGGGTGTTCACACCTTTTCAACATGTGAGCTACTTACAAAATGACCAAGTCAAAATGATCGACCTAATACAAAGCCAAACAAACTGCACTGAAACACTCTGTGCCCCTTTTTTGGACCCTCACCCACAGTTTGAGAACCTCTTCTTTAAGAAAACTTCCTCTGGCACTTTACACAAAACTGTGAAAAAAGTGAAGGAAGATTTTTAAACCTGTTTTTTAAAGTTCCAAACTGGAGTTTCATTCTTTTCTGGTTTTGCAGTGATATTTACCAGCCTCTGCACGTTTACCAAACCAAACACACATCGTGACAAACACAGATGCATTTGTCACTTTTGTTAGACAAATTTCAGCCAAATGTGGCAGTAGGTCTGTTCTGTAGATCCGCTCTATGCTGTAGACCTGCTTTGTGCCAACACTGGAACAAATTTAGACTGGTTTTTGCTTCAGGTTTGGTCTTGTTCTTCTAATCAGCCGCACTGTGGGAGGGGCTTGTGTTGGCTGTACGCAGGAAGGAGCGAGAGCGTGAAAAGGCGAGGGGCGGCGTGCTGACGTGAGGCAGATGGACAGGTAGGATGTTTAGGAAGTTGAACCTGCCCTGTGATGCACGCTGGTACACGAGGGCACACGCTGTCGCAGACGAGCCGTGCATAGGGAGCGTGTGTGTTTGTGATGCGCCGTAGAGTCTCCGCGGGTTTCAAATGAGCGCACAGGCTGCACTGAGACGCCCCACACGCTCCTGCACCCGCTACAAGTTTATTACCAACAGCAGCGGCTGTAATGAAATATGATCACACTTGTTGAGTGTCAGACCTCGAGTGAGAGACAAGACCGAGTCCAATCTACCCACACGACCTTGGCGATCGACTGGTAGATCGCGATCGACGTATTGAGCACCCCTGTCCAAAACAGTCGCATGAGTGAAAAATCGGCTCAGAAAGGGTCAAAAATCGCACAGTGTCTGCCCGGCTTAATTGAAGAGCAGGTTTCTTCTGTCTGACACTGTCCTAGTTGTCATGATACTTACATTTCAAACTGGATTTTGAGTGTTAAATGTACAGTATATGTATGAGTATGTACGCTCTTAAAATAAAACACCACCCACACACTGCAGAATACCATTATCTGTGTGGAAAAAGGACAACACAACAGTAGAAGGTGAGAGTCTGCAGCAGCCTGTGTCACTCTTTCACTCTCCCCCTCCCTCTCTCTCTTTTTCTTTAAGCTGTGTCGGTTTCTCGTTGCTGCGTCATGAGTGCGAGGGAACTTCCTGTCGCGGTCACGTACGCAGGGCTGTTACCCTTTTGACCTCTGCTGTACGCGCTGCTGCTTCCACTTCCTTCTGATTTACATCTGATAGCGATATATATTGTTCTGCCTTAAAACACACGCTTCTATTCTAAATAAACTGCACTTTTATGTCGCTTGAAATCAAAATGATAGTCCGTCTCGTGTTCACTCGGTGCTGCTCTCCCCGTGGTGAAGCTGTGACATGAGGCCAGGTGAGTGAAGTGTCTTGCACAAGGGCACAACAGGAAACACTGGTGGGAGCTAGTATTGAACCATAAAGCTCCCTGTGATGAAAAGAAATCCTCCCACTCATAGGGCTGGAACTAACGATCATTTAGCCGACTGAGTTTAGTTTGGTGGCTACTTTTTGATGAATACATTAGTCATTTCAATCTTAAAATAGGAGAACATGAGTCAAATTATACCAAAAAAAGTACTAGCAGGAACATTTTACGCACTCAAGATGAATAATTATTAATAATAGTTAGGGATGTAACAATAACCAAAATATCGTGATATCGTATTTTCAAAGTTCTCATAATAATATCGTGGACTATCACAATGTATCAAATTACAAGTGTCTCTGCTTAAATTAAGAGTTATGGTGCAGCAATAAAAACGACTACATAGGGAACTACATAGACCATGATCCTTTGCTCCATTTCAGTGCAGACTACATAAAGAAATAACAGTTCTCAGCACTTTTAAGTCTTAGTTCTTTGGATTAAATCTTGTCAAGGCATTTTAAGAGGAAAAAGTAGCATATTGACAGTTTTGTTTACCTCCACAAAATATCATAATAAATATCGTACTGTGAGATGTGTATTGTGAAAATATCATTAAAACTGAGAGATTTGGATATTGTTACATCCCTAATCGTGAGCTTTCCCATGATATCTCAATAAATATTGTACTGTGAGGTTCATACTGGGACGATATTGTATCGTGAGACTTGGATATTGTTACAGCCCTAATAATAGTAATTTTGGTGGCTTGTCGTCTCCGGGTGGGTGGAGAGTCCCTGCCTCAAGTGGAGGAGTTCAAGTATCTCAGGGTCTTGTTCACGAGTGAGGGGAGGACGGAACGTGAGATTGACAGGGGGATCGGTGATGCGGTCGCTGTATCAGACTGTTGTGGTGAAGAGGGAGCTGAGCTAAAAGGCAAAGGCAAAGCTCTCGATTTACAGGTAATCTATGTTCCTCCCCTCACCTATGTTCATGAGCTCTGGGTACAGACCGAAAGGACGAGATCGTGGATACAAGTGGTCAAAATGAGTTTCCTCCGCAGGGTGTCTGGGCGCTCCCTTAGAGACAGGGTGAGAAGCTCAGTCACATGGGAGGAGCTCGGAGTAGAGTCGCTGCTCCACGTCAAGAGGAGCAGATGAGGTGGCTCGGGCATCTGTTTCAAATGCCTCCTAGATGCCTCCCTCGGGAGGTGTTCTGGGCATGTCCCACCGGAAGGAGGCCCCGGGGAAGACCCAGGACATGCTGAAGGGACTATGTCTCTGGGAATGCCTTGGGACAGCACCCGAGCACGACACGGCCCAAAAGTCCCAGCGTAAGTGCGACTCTAGTACAGTGGGTAATGGGTCAGATAGTCACACTGACTGGATGTCCCTGAGCAAATCCCACACCTCAGTAAAAAAAAAAACAAAACAAAAAAAAACTGTTGTGTGCACTGTGTTATATACGTATATTATTTATCTGATACCTGATCGGACCATAACGACCGAGTCTGAATCGCGTCAGGTGATCGGCGCCGATTTCTGATGATGTGATCGGATCGGGACAACCCTACTACAAACTCACCAACTTTTTACCATAAATATTTAAGGGAGCCGTGCATCACATCTCTTCATATTAAAGTGTTCAAATAAAGCGTTGTTTGTAGTTTTTAGCCCTAATTCGCTAATTGATTCTGCTGAAATTCACCAAGGTTTTTAGTCCGGTGATTTATTTTTCTTTTTGTCTTTATACGCAGCCGACAAACTGCAGCTGAAACCCTCTCTACAAAAGACAGACCCCACCCCTCTCCCCTGGAGCTGTGTGTATTGTAGACCCCAGACACATACTGCAGTAGAGAGCAGTACTGACCTGACGGTGCAGTCGGTTTTGCTGTATCCCTCGTACTGCGCGGCCTTCTGCAGAGCGCTCATGTCCAGCTCCGGACTGCCACACACCAACATCTCCACCTCCTCCGGCCTCAGCAGCTGAAAGAACACAACACACAGAGTTAGAAAATACACACTCCAACACAATCTCCGCTAACATCTCCACAAACATCTCCACCTCCTCCAGCCTCAGCTGAAAGAGCACAACACACTGGGCTAGAAAATACAGACTCCAACAACATATCCGCCAACATCTGCACCAACATCTCCACCAATATCTCCACCAATATCTCTACCAATATCTCCACCTGCTCCAGCCTTAGCAGCTAAATGAACACAGCACACACAGGGTTAGAAAATACACATTCCAACAACATCTCCACCAATATTTCCACTAATATCTTCACTGATATCTCCACCTCCACCAGCCTCAGCAGCTAAAGGAACACAGTACATGCAGGGTTAAATACACAGGCTCCGCCAACATCTCCACCAACATCTCCACCAACATCTCCACCAACATCTCCACCAATATCTCCGCCTGCTCCGGCCTCAGCAGCTAAGAGAACACAACACACAAGAGTTAGAAAATACAGACTCCAACATCTTCGCCAACATCTCCACTAACATCTGCACTAACGTCTCCAAGAATATCTCCACCAACATCTGCACTAACATCTCCACCAATATCTCTACCAATATCTCCACCTGCTCCAGCCTCAGCAGCTAAAGGAACACAGCACATGCAGGGTTAAATACACAGGCTCCGCCAACATCTCCACCAACATCTCCACCAGCATCTCTACCAACTTCTCCACCAGCATCTACACTAATATCTCCACCAGTAAGTCCATCAAAATCTCCACCAGCATCGCCACCAATAGCTCCACCTGCTCCAGCCTCAGCAGCTAAAGGAACACAGCACACACAGGGTTCATTTTACAGGCTCCACCAATATCTCCACCAACATCTACACTAACATCTCCACCAATATCTCCACCAACATCTCCACTAATATCTCCACTAACATCTCCACCAATATGTGCACTAACATCTCTACCTCCTCCAGCCTCATCAGCTAAAGGAACACAGCACACACAGGTTTATGTAGATAGGCTCCACTAAAATGTCCACCAACATCTCCACCAACATCTCCACCTGCTCCGGCCTCAGCACACACAGGGTTCATTTTCCAGGCTCCACCATCATCTGATAACGATAATGACATTGATAATAGCGGAGACTCAAATTACATTTTTTTATCTGGGGAACAGTGAGTTTGTTTTCTCTGTGCAGAGTATCAGAGGAGCTGCAGTGAGACCACACACCAATGTTCTTCTCTCAAACAGAAGATCCACCTTGTGATGTCATGTGGTAATAAAGGAGTGTTTTTAAACTCCATACACCTTCATTAGAATCATTTGGGATCATTTCAGCCTTGGATTTGCCAATCTCTGCTGAACAAAAGGTAAAAGGTGCTGTTCACTTGAGAAGTATCACTACTGTACATGAGATCACAATCACATAAGTACATCTCCAAGGAGACTCCATAATAGAAAAGTTCCACCGTGCATTTTTAAGTAAATTTTAGAATATGTGGTGATGAGATTTTCCAATCCAATCCACTTTATTTCCAAAGTGCTGCACAAATACATAATAATAACACCAATAATAAGATGATAAAATAAACTACTAAAATAATATTAGTCTTAAAATAATAAGACTAGACTAAATTTTGGTGCAGTGATAGTTGAAAATAGAAATACTTGTAGGCATTTCTTATTCAAATACAAGCGAATGTACTAGTCAGAGGCGGCACTACTATTAGGCAAAAGTAGGTGGCTGCCCAGGGCCCCCAAACCTGAAGGGGCCCCCAACATTCACTTCCACTAATGGCCTAATAATTTTCTCTCAATATGACATTAAATGACAGTACTTTACTTTTATTGGCCATCTGAGTGTTTTTATTTACTTTTATTTTACTGTTCTTCGCATTTGCACCTCTACAAGAACCTTGGTGTGCATTTCCTGTTTCATTTGAGTAGTTTACTTTTAAAAAATCATCATAAGAAAAATAATAAAAATCATATGTAATGGATGTAAACAAAAATGTAAATGTACTACCACAAAAATAAAACTACTTCGAGTTCTGGTTATCTAGTAGGCAACCGAACTAATAAAACAAGTTTCCAATCCATCATAATTCAAATTTCAAGAGCAATGAGGAAAAACAGATAATAAATATATTCAAGACAAAACAAAACAAAAAAATGGTGCATTACAGTGAGGGCCCCAAACTCAAGTTCACCTAGGGCCCCCAAATCCGCAAAGTCCGCCACTGGTACTAGTACTACTACAATTAAACTAGGATTCTATCACTACTACTTTTATATATCTGGTCTTTTCCATTTTAAGTCTTACAAAAATCCCGTATATCTTAGATCTCAGTGCAGCTTTTGACACTGTCGATCATGGGATCCTCTTACAGAGACTAGAGGACTGGGTGGGCATCTCTGGTACTGCACTAAACTGGTTCAAGTCCTATCTAGAAGACAGGAAGTGTTTTGTTGAAATTGGAAACTGTCTCAGATGACATGGCCCTGACCTGTGGGCTGCCGCAGGGGTCAATCCTGGGCCCCCTGTTGTTCAATCTCTACATGCTGCCATTAGGCCAGTTCATAAGCAGCAATAATGTGTCCTACCACAATTATGCAGAATGACACTCAGATCTACTGTATGTCTCACTGCAGCAGGAGACTCACTGTGCCACTGCATCCAACAGATCAGTGTGTGGATGCAAAACAACTTTCTAAAGCTAAACTCTGACAAGACTGAAGTCATAGTGTTTGGTCCACAGAAACAAAGGGACAGTGTCAGCAGTCACCTCCAGTCTCTCTCTCTGAAACCTTCAAATCAGGCAAGAAATCTAGGGGTAATAATGGACTCAGACTTGAACTTTAACAACCACATCAAATCAATAACATCTGCAGCCTTTTACCATCTAAAAATATAGCAAAAATCAAAGGTTTACTGTCTAAATCAGACTTGGAGAAACTTATCCATGCGTTTGTCTCCAGTAGGTTAGATACTGTAATGTTCTGCTCACTGGTCTCTCCAAACGAGCTGTGAGACGCTGCAGAACATCCAGAACACTGCAGCTCGGGTCCTGACTCGAACTAGGAAGTACAAGCACATAAGTCCTGTGCTCAGGTCCGTGCACTGGCTCGTGTGCCTCAGAGACTTTAAAGCAGCTCTGCTTGTACAAGTCTCTCCATGGCCGAGCACCAAAGTCCATCTGTGACATGTTAGTGTCATATGAACATCTCACACTCTGAGGAGCTCAGGGACCGACCTCCTGCTGGTGCCCAGAGTCACGACTAAACAAGGGGAGTCAGAGTTTCAGGTTCATGCAGCTAAAACCTGGAACAGTCTGAACATGTGAGACAGACTCTTCTGTGACGCTGTTTAAATCCAGACTCAAGACGGTTTTTCACTCCGCACTCTTCTCTCTAATTTATGTATTTAATGTCTCTCTCTCTTTTTTAATTTTAATCTTTCATTTTGTGATGATTATTTATATTTTGATTAGTTTTTATTGTGATTTTAATGTATTTCTTATTCTGTTAAACACTTTGAATTACTTTGTGTACAAATTGTGCTATACATATAAACTTCACTTGTCTTACCTGTATATAATAGTCGTAATTTGAGAGTACACAGTGCTTTTTGATTCACATGGGAACAGTATCATGGGGTCTGTCAACACAGTGCAGAGTCATGGAGGAAGCGTGAGCGTGTGCAGACCTGAGCGCTACAGAAATGTTACGTAACTATTGTAAAACTGCTTTTAGAACAGATCCCTCTTTTAGTACAAATAGGACAAAATGTGATAACACTGCTCCACTATAGACAGTACCTGAATGTGTGGTCATGGGGAGATTTAAGACCTAAGCGCAATTTTAGTACCTTTGTCCTCGCCTGGATTTAGTTTTTTATTTTGCTTTTAAAACTCCCTCTTTTACCCCCTAATGAAGTGTTATACATCCTTTTTTTTTCAGCACAGCCTGTTATTTCACAATCTGCTGCTATAGTTATGTCATATGGCTAAACTGAAATATAAAACTAAAAACTAAAAATATCCTTATTGCCTCAAAACTAAAAAAAAAAGTGCAATGGCCCCATGACTTTCCTAATGTCAGTCATGGAAACAGCTGGTGTCAGGTCCAGGGCACAGAGCCACGTCACTACCTGCATTTCCATGAACTTTATTACATTTGGATTTGTACATTATGAGTGAAATAGGGCTCTGACTAAAGGTAGCACATATCGACAGGCCAATTTATCCATCGAATAATGCACCCACTGTAGAATCACCATTATTCATTTCCACATTTCCACAGGCCCGTATCTTCTATCAAACAAGACTCCCACTATAGAAGAGAAAGAAATGACTGGCAACACTGAAATCTTTATATTAAATAGCGTTAAATATATAATATTTGGGCTACAGTGTGAATTTCCTATTATGATATAGTGATATTTTATTTATACAAAGTCCCGACATTTTCTACACATGGAAACAAAATAAAATACGATGTAATGAAAATTAAAACAATAATATCAAATCAAACTATTCAGTCATCTAACTTAAGTATTGTGCCACAAACACGCACATGTCGTTGTTTAACTGGTTTAAACATACAATAAAAATAGGGGTGTAACTGTATATGTATTCGTGCCGAACCGTTTCAGTACGGGGCGTTTGTTTCAGTGCAGGGCTGTGCAAGAGTGAGTTTGTGCAATTTGTGTGTGTTTACATGTTTCCACTACATGTGCAGCTACACGGAGGCTCGGCTCTTTAATATTCAAGAGGAACTTGTCTGTAATTGGGACAGTGTTTCCCGCAGCACTTAGGGTGGCCGCCTTGACAACAGTTGCCTCCTGCCTTGACTACGTCCCTCTGAACCACGTGAATCCTCACAAAACTACAGTTGTTGCGTCCCGGTCCTCACTTTCACCTTTTGCCGGCACAGAATCTCTGCTCTCAACATTGTAACTGCAGCAGATCTGCACTTACTGCAGACACTGTGGACAAGTTG